TTTTTAAGATATATTTTTATGAAATAACCACAATACTGATACTAAGGTTTTTCTATCACACGCAGTAATACCTCGTTTAGCATAGGGGTCACATTATGCGGATTTGATAAAATGCAAATTGCAAATTGTTTTGGATGTGATTTAGGCAAAAGCTTATTGCGGTTTCCGTTCAATATAAAATTTGTGCAGAAATAGTTAACCGCTTTAAACGCGAAAATACTATAAAAGTATATTTGCTAATGAAATATTTACTTAGATTAAGTTTAAAGATTACACAATTTTTTGATTATTAAGACATACTGTGTTGCAAATAAGAAATTTTTATTTCATATTTATGTAAGACAACATGATCTTTTTCATTATTCGTCGAAATTGATTGCATCAAGTTATTAGGCATTTCTCTATACGAGTTGACTTAATATGCGGGAATGTGAACTGAACATAAATGCAATTTTTAATACTATTCCTATAGTTCTCTAAAGTAATATTTATGTTGAACCACAGTTCTAGTTTTGCTAATGTAGATCACTTAAGACTTAAGTTTTCCAAGCATGCATTAGAGAATTTCAGCAGGAATATAAAAACTTGATTATAATGAAGAGAACCTCAAGTTTTCTCAAAATATGGTTTAATTTATTTTACTTAAAACTCACTCAGTAGAAGTTCGATAATCAGTGAAATAGGTCCCTATATGCGGTCTTTGATTGTCTTAAAAATTGTTTTTGCAAAGCTTTTCCATTCCATAAAATTGTGTCGCATGCCTGCTTCTGAATACTAATATACGTTTTATCTAAAATTCGCTAATTTTAAAAAATTATGAAATTCGCAAAGTGCGAAATATATTCATTGTAAACAAAACAAGAAAATTGATGTTCGAAGACTTATTTATATAAAATTTTTTACATAAAAATGTTTTTTTTTTTTTGTCCTAAATTTTTTTACAACAATGTAGTTTCGATAAATTGGAAGCGAAATCAAATAAATAAATTTAAACGCAACATATCCACAATTGCAAATAGTATTAAGGATTAATGACAGCTGGATACTACACTACGCTTAGAACTCATGTATTATTGATTAGCGGGAGGCAGGCAAAGTGTTTATAACAGTTTACGCATGACTTGCGCGATACGACGTGTTCGAAATCACTCGTCGCTCAGCCGTATTCGGCATTCGGCCAAGGCTTTCCTAAACTATCATCATCGATATTGAAAAATCCATAAAACTCCATAAAAAAAAATCATACGACCTCTTATGGCTACGGACTTTTAATTTTTCCAAACCTAATCTAAATTATTCCTCTGCTTTAGAATACTCTCTTAAAGCTATACAATGGAATGCTTACTTTTATATATGGGGGTTTTAGTACGGCCGCCTTATGATTCTTGACATCGAGACATGCTCGATAGTCGTGCATTAAGGGCTTGCTGTAACGGGCAGAGAGTTCACAGCTTTTAAAAAAGTATGCATTTTTCTTAATATCGAAGCAGATATCCTTCGATAGTAGAATTGTCGAGTAACATAAACAACTTACAATCGAGTTTACTTGATATCGCGACCCTGTTGTTATATTTTGCGATATTTACCTGAAATGATTCTTCGGCTAGATTGTTAAGTTTATTACCACGCAAGCTTAAATGTTCGAGTTCGTCAAGATTCATAAAAGCACGTCGTTCGATACGTTCTATTTTGTTATCATCCAAATGAAGTTTACGCAAAGCCTATAAAAATTAAAAGATCACGATCACTACAAATGAATTCATTTTTTTGGTAAAAAATATATGTTCGCAACATGTACCTCTAAATCGAAAAATGTATGTTGAGAGACTTGAGTCATCTGATTGAAACGAAAAGATATCTCCTCCAACTTTGAATGTATATCACCCTGCGAATGCAAACATAGATATTAATGCACACATTTTCGAAATATTGCTTTTAAATTTGCATTTAAATATCTACCTGAAATGTTCCTTTCATAACTTGTTCTATGCGGTTATCATGCAACTCTAAGAGTCTTAAATTTTTCAAAAAATGAAAGCTTGTATCACTCATAGTTTGAATTTTATTATTACTGAAATCCAATTCTTGCAACGAAGTCAAATGCCGCAAAGCATCCGATGGTAACGCTGTACCCGAAAAACCATGAGCTATTTTTAATGAAATCAATGAATGCCCGATCTGAAATATATAAGAACAACTTAACGAGGTTAAATCGGGGAAAAAAAAAAAAAACAAATGCAATGGATACCTCATGGAAAGCATCGGATTCAATACTTTGCAAGCTATTCTCGCTAAAATCGAGACGTTTCAAACCTCTTACATATTTAAAGGCATGCGCCTGAATATTCGTTAAGGCGGCACGCGTTATTTGCAAATCTTCCAATTCAACACCGAAATCCTTAAAATCATCGGCACCAATTGACGTTGTACTCATGCGTGATATGGAAAGCGAACGCATATTTCTCATTCTGGTCATACTTTTTGAAAATAAATAAAAAACATTTTTGACGCTCCAAAAAGCAAATATTTAACTTACTTGCGTAGGGTTTGTAAATTTGTTGGGTCATTATTATCACCGCTTAAATCCAATTTAAGCAATGTATATTGCATCGCATTAAATGTTTCGGTGGGCTGTTGAATTTTAATATTATTGTCACGCATACTTATCACCCTGAAATTTCGTTAATAAAATTGTCGAGATTAAAGTTGAGAGATGTCATCATCACTTAACTATGCAAATGCAACAAGCCACCAGTGATTAACTGAATGCAATTGTGTATATTGTCACTTATATAGAAATAATTCGATCCCTTTGTCCTTTCAGGCATTAAGTGTGATTGCCTAAGTGAACCAAGCATAAGCTAAGACTTTCGTCTACATATACGTATATACTGTACTCTACAGGCAAACATCAGTAACAAATGATTTTTTATGATACTGGTGAAATATATCTAATATCACTAAAATACTTGATTCTTCAAAAAATCCATTTTCTGATATATTTTTTCTACGTGACTTCCGGCTAACTGTATAAGATGGCCAAAGATTTTCAATGGCATGAACTTGAAGGCCGTTTGGAAGAAAACGTCAGTTATTTACTAAAACTTACTTTATCGATCCAGCGTTGTATATCTAATAACTGTTCCACTATATTTTGCACTTAAAACATTGAAAGATGTTTTATTCACCACTGTGGAATAAGGGAATATTTGCTTGGTAAAATGTTTGACGGACGCTGTAGAGCGGACTCATATATTACGTATTTTTGCAAATTCCGCACCGATCGAGCTATGTCCATCCGTTTGTCCGTGGTGGATATGATCCTGCTCGCTTTGTAATACTCACAAGGAGGCTTCAGAGACCGCATATGCATATATATATGCTTGATCATTCGTAAATTCGAAATCCGCTTAAGCATATCTTTCTATATATTCGTCTACCCGTTTCTGTCGTGTCTGTGCTTTAAACATTCTCACGTTCCCTAATATGAAGGAACTGTATGTCCATCTGATTTGATGTACATCTGTATAGTATGTGATAAACATTTTCCCGTTCGCTAAAATAAAGAAATCGTCTGTCCAGCTGTCCGCCTACCCATCTGTCTAAAATCTATGCAAAGTATTCTTTTCTTCATTAAAATGAAGAAATTGTTTGTCCAGCTGCCCACCTACTCATCTGTCTAAAATCTGTGCTAAGCATTCTTCCGTTCATTAAAATGAAGAAATTGTCTACCCAGCTGTTCGCCTACCCACGCGTGTTATATGTATGCTAAGTATTCTCCCGTTCATTAAAATGAAGAAATCGCCTTCAAATTTCGCAAAAACGCACAGTTTAGTATTGACAATGGGTCAAACCGGACAAAGGACGCATACACGACCTTCATTAAAGGGTCGAATTTTTGAAAAAGAAATAGAAAAAAGGCGTCTCTTGTTGTGAAAGACATTATGACTTATTATTAATCCCCATGACTGAAGCAAATGATAAAAGAATAAATCCGAGGTTTTCTTGCAACAACCTTCCATCAAGGGCATCAACGAAAGTCTTTTCAATTTATGGCCTTATTTTAAAAAGTATATTCAATTGAATGCAAAGCGAATGAAATGCAAACGTAAAAATACAAAACCGGTATTTTATAAAATAAGGTCATTAATCATTTGGTTGCCCAAGTGCGAATTTTTCTAAAGGTTTCTTAAAAATAAGAAAAGAGAAAAAGGTTACTGACGCTTCGCATGCATTTATTTCTATCAAAAAAGATCATCTTTGGAAGGTCGTCAAAGTCGCAAAATAAGAGTTTGGCTCAAACCATCCTTGATCGATAATAAATCGGCCATTGAAAGATGACTGTGATCTTTTTTCGTGCCCGCCCATAATAGATTATAAACTGAGACAATGTTGGAAAAAATGTCGACATTTTTTTCATATTTACATCTATAATTGTCGACCCCGGGAAGATGGTTGATCGATATGTGTCAAAAGTTTTCGGAAATGCGGTATAACTCCTTTCGTGAAGATCGAAAACTATAAAAAGTATTAAAATGACGAACTCAGTAATTATAGTGTTAAGGTGCGATGTCTATACCTATTGTACTTTCCAATAATGACTTTCATTTCTTGCAAACACAAACGAACAGGCGGTGGTGATTTGAAATAATAGACATAGTTGTTTGTGTGTGTGTGTGTGTGTGTGTGTGTGTGTGTGTGTGTGTGT